CAGATGCAGCTCTATCTCACCACTTGCCAGATTGAAACCTGAGGTGCGCAGGAGGTCGTGAGCAGCCGGAACCCGGTAGTGTTCTTCTTGCGTGGCCGCGGACAGCGATTGGTGAACATCCTGCCGCTAGGCTGGAGCTGGTTTAACGGAGCCTTTTGCTGACTGCGCGACTGTGGCGACGAGAAGGTCCCATAAATGTAGACGTTTTAAGAATCAAACTCCCCATTGGGATTTTAAAATTTCCTTCATATATAGGATTTTGTTTTGTAACCAATATATATATATATAGTCTCATTAGGGACCGCTACAGGTTGACCCGGGTGTTTTCCCAAGATCCTTGCGTTTCGTCGTTGAATCCTTCGGACGAGTAGGACTGAGCGGTTTCAACATCGCACAGAGCCTCGTCGTGAGTCACTGACCCGGTCCGAGGAGCGAGTCAGATACTGGACATGAACAGGTGTTGCAGTCTTGAGGGACTTTCCTTTCAGAGAGGTCTCCATATCATGATTAGGGTCCGGTCATATATTTATAATGAAGTAAACGTATATTCCAGTCCGGATGGGATCTGAATCTCCACTTGGTCCAACCCCACCACCCCAAATCCACCCCACCAGCATCGCTGGGTCTCGGCACCGACCGAGGACCTTTTTGCAGCCATCGGCTTTGGCCTTGATCGGTCAGCAGGCACCGGACGGTCGGTTCCCGGACGTGACTTCCACCGCTGTTCGAACAGCGGTGGGGAAGGATGGGGAATGTGACCCAATCCAGAATGATGTGCTACCAATTCCATATTAATAACATGTATTCTTACCACCACTTTGAGTTCAGTTGGGGTATGTTCAGATGTGTATTTGTTCCTTAAAGGTTCCGTTGACGAGGACATGACCTATATGTTAGCCCCTGAAAGTTCGGCGAAGGACTTGTGACTTGATCCTGGAAATTCACGACTTCACTTGCAGAGGAACCCTAAAACTCCAACTATATCCAGAAGGTGGTTAGACGCACCCACCCCAACCACCTTCGAAAGGGAGGGGAGGTAGGTCAGGAGCCCAAAGGGGGGAAATCAGTCCTGTTGGCGCTGAATGTGACTAATGTAACACCGGAAGTCCTTGACCTGGCAAATGACCTCTTCACCCCAGGGTATCGTCCAGTCCAGTCGAATGGTCAAGTTGAGTGAACGTCGTTGATCGTCGACTTCGGTTCATGTTGACTGTTGATGACTAACCCCCCCCCAGATGGAGATGTACACCCTACATTTTACCCAGTCCCAAACTCTTCGTACAAGACCTGGACGCACCTCATCAACGATCAGCCTGAGGCCTGGTCGTACAGGAAGTCCTCCATCTCCATGGAACACTGGGAACGGCCCATCCCCACGTCCCTTCGGCCGTGCGTCGCGCTTCACCGGCGTGCGTCGTCGTCGCGGCGCGCAACTCGCGGGAGAGGGGGGGGCTCGGCGCTTTGGAGACTTCCACGTCACGAAGTAGAAACGCTCCGATGTGTCAAGGAAAGGTAACGCACATGGCCTGGAAGGTATAGGCATGCTATAGTGGGTTCGGACGCACATGGTGTGTGAGGTCGGACAGTCCTCCGAGTCTTTCGGGGCGCCATGATTCCAGGAAGTGTATGATCTTCTGAACTCGGGAACATGCCATCCACGTAACCATATGATCTGTTCGTCAGAGTGTACCTATGTCTATGATAAAAAAAAGCGTTATTGTCTTTAAATAGAACAAAAAAGCTGCCCGGCACCTGAGTTTTGTGGATGCCATGAACAGGTTGAACTAGATCAGTGAAGGATTTGAAGGCCCAAAGATGGTTGTCTCGGAAGGTGCAAAGGGAGTTATGCGGCATGTTCCGGAACTGTCTCTCATTGGTATTCCCTTAGGGATCCAGTTGTACCTTCTCAGAAGGTACTTGGACCCTCTAAACCTACATATCAGTGTCTCCAATCACCTTTAGCGATGTTTTGGATCCTCACTCCACGCAGGAACTTCACGTACATGAATTGTTTGCCCCTGGTCGGCCAATCAGTCAAGTATGAGTGCAGTAGGTAGGATGTCTGATAGGGGGGGTGTTTGTGAATCCCTCCTTTGGGGGTCCTGATCCGAAAACAACTTCAAATTGGTGGATTCGAAGCTTCAAGGATGCTTCTACCAGTGGAGGCCATTTATATCCATTTATAGACACCTCTTGGATGGTCCTGGTATGTCCTGGTATAGATGCCACGATCCGTGAAAGGTGGCTCAGCTCCCGAGTCGAAGTCTTCCTTCACCCTTCAGAATCCGACATGAGCCGAGCTTGAAATGCCCCAGGTTTAGAGAGTCGGTGGAAGGGGTGGAAGGGGTCCAGATGGCTGAAGCTTTCTCCACCCACTTGCTGAAGCTTTCTCCAAGGTGCTTTCCGATCACCAGCATTTGCCCTGCGGGCGGCTACCGCCGGCGGCAGAACCTGCATCGATGGCTGGCCACCAGGCGTCCGCCCTGAGCGCTGCCGTGCTTGGGGGGAGCCCAGGAAGGCCGTGGCTTGAAGAGAGGTCAATTAAGTCGTTTTATGATCGTCCCAGTTCGGCTCCAGGGTCGGCTGCAAGCCCCATCTTCATCCATTTTTTTCTACTTAGGGATCTCCAGAGAAAACACCCTGAAAGAAGGTCCAGGTAGATTGCCCGTGGAGTGTTTGAGTTTGGGGTGTGGCTGTCTCTAGTAACGAATCGCCACTTGCCTTTTGTCGTGTGCCAAAATGAACGAATACAGCTGATGGCGAGTTCGCACGGAAGCACATGGATCTTCCTCAACGAGACTGAGACTGCGTTCCGAACCGCTCACCGAACGGTTCCACCAATCACCGTGTCGAAGAGGTGTCGTTCAGAGGGGCATGTCTTACTGCCATAGAGTCCCAAGGCTTGATGATGTCTAACTGCCATAGTGTCCCAAGGCTTGATGATGTCTTACTCC